ATATATATTGTTTGTTTGTTTGTTTGTTCCATTGGCAAAAAAAGGAAAATATTTGAGAAAAGTGATTATTGCTTTATAATCTGCCACAATTTCCTCCCTTGGCTACCTTGACCAAACACCGCATCTGTCATGTTATAGCCTGTGACATGCTTTAAAAGGCCACCAAACAAAAATATAGCTATTGAAGTCAAAGTGAATCATCATATGTAATATAACAAATCTAGTGACTAGTGGCCTCGCCATTAATTTTGGCCTAAGCTATCAATCATGAAAACAAAATTTAACCTACCAAATGAAGTGAAGGGTTTCTTTTCTTTTCTTTTCTTTTCTTTTCTTCTTTTGATGTATAAAATAGGATTAACTTATCAGCTACAGTAACTAATTAGTTAGAATCCTGAGGACTAAAAACTGTTGGTAAAAAAGTTGGCATTTACCTGAAAAATCTTTAATTCTTGATTCAAAATTTGAAAGGGTCATCATGTTCTATAATAGATATTTGATGTGATTTTAGTGTACCTGATTTTTAAACAGAAAACTCACATGGGACTAACATGTTTGTGCTCTATTTCAGTCTTGCAATTTATTATTCAATATATGGTTTGGTCACTGTTCTTTCTTCCAACAAGCTCATTAAAAAATATTTGTCTATTCAGAAAATATATCTATTCTTCGTACATTCAGCCGATAATTTATCATCATTTAAATTTTCACTTTTTTTTTATATATTTTTTTATCCAATAAAAACACATTCGTACACTCTTATTTGCATCAATCATGGTCTTAAGTTTTTTTTTTTTTTTTTTTTTTCCAATATTTTTTTATATTCCAATAAATAACATCATTCGTTATCACCGTCTTATTTGCATCAATCATAGTTAAAGTCTTTTGTTTTTTTTTTTTCCAATTTATTATATCTGACAATTCAGTTTTAATTTATGATAAAATTGACTTGTCATTTTTCTAGTTGTACACTTGAAAATTTTACCATTAGTGGGTTCTTTTTTTTTTTTTTTTTTTTTTTCCAATTTATAATATATGCATCTCATTTTTATGATAATTGACTTTCACTTTCTAGTGTACACTGAAAATTTTACCATATGGGTTTTGCCTAACTTGAGCTATACGTCCATTTCCACTAATTTGACATAAAACTAAAACATTTTCATTGCTCTTCCAACTTCCAAACCATGTGTAGAATACAATTAATACATGCATTAATTAGATCTTTCTAATGAACTTATTTTTAAAAATCATTCTCTCTTTCTTTATCGAAAAGCCTGAACGCAAGAACTCAAAATGTCGGATAAAAAAGACAAAATTAATTATATCTTTTTTTTTTTGAAAAAATATGGTTGTGTACGAGGCAAGTATAGCTTGGCAGATAGACAGTGATCAAGAATCATCAGAAGATACTTAGAAAAAGACTGTACGTGGCAACAGTTTTTTAAATAATTTTTAAACTTTTGATCGGTTAAAACGCTAAATGCTATTTATAAATATTTTGGTAATACAGCGTTTTGCTTATTTTTTAGATATTATGATAACGTTTTATGAAAAGTTAACTCATGTAACGTTTAAAATAGCTAATAACTAAAACTTATTAAAATAGCTATCAGTTGCCAAAACAGCTAATTTTACCGAATAGATACTAAACATCGGATCAAGAAATTGTTGGTGGTTGGCAAAATTTGAAGTTGGTTTCAGAAGTTTGTAGTAGCAGAAACAGTAGTGAGGGAGAAAGAGAAAGAGAAGAAGGGGACACCCTAGTTTTCTAGTAACACGTGACGCTGCTGGACAAAAGCATAGAAAATTTCATATCTAAGCCTGTTTGTTTAAGAAAAAAATAATAGTAATAAAATATGGTATACAAAACTATAATGCATTTAGAGCAAGACATGACACGTGTCATGTCGTGTATGCTAGGGAAAGGGCATGTGACATGAGCATTGACAATCACTCACGTAGTTATGTCCCAAAAATGGAAGAAAAACAATTATACATGAGAGAGAGCCCATAGAAAATTTTTGCTTGGTTACTATAATTCTACTTATTAATCAAATTCTCCTAATATTTTATGTACTTTTTATTCGGTATATCAAAAATATTATATGAGTTCCATATTTCGTACATCTCATTCCATCTTGTGCCTATGCCCTCTTCAAATAAATAAAAAAAAAATATTTATGTATGTTCAAATTTAAAATTTTAAGAAATAGACAAATTAAAATTAGATTGATGCTATGATTATAATCTTTTCATGTTCTAGATGTTCGATATGTAAAAAAATAATTATGTATCGTAGCCACTGTAAATCTAAAAACGAGATTATTTTTATACTAAAAAAGTGCGAGGAGAATTAAAAAAAAGAAAAAAGCAATGTCTCTTCATATAGTTAGTAAAATTCAAACATTGTGGCTACAGAAATTCAATAGTGGTTATTCATCTACGTTAGTTAATATTATATCTTTCTTAAAAAAAAAAAAAAATATTACATCTCAAATTTTAATATATATTGGAAGATTTGATGAGACAATAATAGAGTAGGGATAGACCGTATCTCTCTTTTCAAACAAATTTCGTTATTTTATGTTTCATGAAGAAACCTTCCAAATTAGATTTAGTCACTTGTACAACCGACTAATGTTATGTTATGTCAAGAAAGGAGGGCTAAGAGTGAGGAGTGCATAGCTATATATTTTCAAACAAATTTCGTTAAGTTATGCTTTCAATAAATGAACCTTCTATATTATTGGAGTCACTTTGTTACAAACCGACTAATGTATGTTACTTATGCAAGAAAGGAGGGCTAAGATGAGGAGTGCATAGCTAGTATATATATTAGTTGTTTTATTTTACTCTGTCATATGTGTGTATTATATAATGTATATACTCATGTATAATTTAATATTTAGTTTATAGAGCCATATAATACTATATTATTAATTAAGGGTATATATACAAATATATGTGATAATACATTTATATGGTAATAAATTATAATATGTTACTACTATTTCTTGGATACTAATAAGATATAAATTATAATATTGGTAAGAATATGAATATTTTTATAGATTTTAGATTATATATGAGTTGAAAATAAAGGATAATTAATTTTTAATGTGATCATATTAGTAAAAATATATAAGGTGTATATAGAATTTGATAAATAATACTATATGTCTTAATATTATTTTATTAAATATTTATAAATTTGGATTGGTTATAATGATCTATAAGTAAGCTTATTTTAAAAAAATAGAAGTGTAATTTATTAATGAAAGAATTTCTTTGAGTATTAAATTTAATTGTTTGATATAAGATCCACCACTAAAGTAAAGTACTTATTAGAAATTTATATAGATATTAAAATAATTAAAGGTTTATAATTAAAACGTAATAGATTAACAAAATCCTTATATAATTAATTTTCGCAGAAAATGAAGTAACCATAGAAATTAGGTGTGAGTATGCTTATTGACTGTAGTAAAAGTAAAAAAAAAAAAAACAATATAATATGTTTAATTATTATTTTTTATAAATATTTAATTTGATTGGTTATAATGATTTTTCTATAAGTAACTTATTTTAAAAAAATAGAAGTAATTTATTAAGAAATATATTATAAGATTTATTGTTTGATATAAGATAGAAAGTAAAACTTTTTAGAAATATATATAAAATATAAAGTTATAATATAAAACGTTATATTAACAAATTATATAATTAATTTTTCTCAGAAAAAGTAACCATAGAATTAATTATATGCTTATTGACTTTAGTAAAAAGTAAAAAAAAAAAAAATCAAAATTATAAATGATGCTCTAAAATAATAATTAATATATTAATTATTACAATAGCTAATACTGGTTTTTTAATATATTAGTAATATAAACAATTTATAGTATTATATTAGACATAAAAAATTAAATTAATTAAATTTAAATTATTAAAAGAAAAATTAAATTGGTTGATAAGTAATTTCATTTTTATAGAAATGTGATTTGTTGTTTATAATAATATTTTATTATTATAATTATGTTATTTCCTTAACAAGATATTTAATTATCGAATTTTTCTATTTTATTATTTCACAAAATATTTTTTCCCTATTTTTTGAATACTCTTAAATTTTTAATAATATAATGGTTTATAATATTATAATTTATAAAAAAAATTAATAAAAAATTAAGTTATATTTACTTGGAATGTGCAAAAATCAACTAGTACAAAAAATCTAAAAACTCCATTTTTTTCTTCCATGGGCAGCCACTCGTGGTCACCCCTTTCATTTTTTTGAAATAATCCTCAGATTTGAATCTGTTGATACAGATTGAGTTATTGTTATCCAAATATGAAAATCTATTTTTGCTCATATCTTGTGATTTTGTTTTCAGATCTAATTCTGATTTATTGTTGTTACCATTATGATGATTTTGTCTAGGGTATTCTGTTGTACCAGAAGAAATTTAAAGATGATCAGATCATATCAGAGTTATAGAAAGACCACATAATCGAACAGTAGCCATGAATAGTTACCAAGTGGAGCAAGCAATTGTCTATAGTATAAATATTATTTTCCGTTAACTCGATCAGATACTTTAAATCAAAATTATATACTTTTATTCTTTGCATTATTAAATTTTTTATAAAAAAATATGTAAACAAATTGATATATATCTCATGTCTATATATATTTTCATTTTAATGAAACTTATAGTATGATTTCTTTTAAAAGAAAAATCAACTCGCACAAACAACGCGTAACGAGCATTTGAGAAAACTATATGTGTATATATAAGTATAGTTTATATAAAAATAAACTGTGAAATAGAATATGAAATTCAGCGAAGAAAGTCCCTGATTGGAGAGGATCAATGTCCTATGATCACATGGTGTTGTGTATTGAGACATGCACATAAAGGCCCACTTTGTTAGCTCAAAAACAAACACATTTCTTGAGGCCACTTGAGATCAAACCCCAACTTGGGAACATATGGAGAAGAGGTTGTATGGTCTCTATCTCCTCTCCCTTTAAAAACATATCAAGCCTTCTCCACTTCTTTCTCCAATGCACTTGTCTTCTTCACATCCAACATTACTGTCTTGTTAATGTACTCTCTCTTTCTCTCTCTCGTGGTCCTTCCCCTCTTTAAATCTCTCTTATCACTTTCTCCAATTTCTTCATCTCTCTCTCGCTCTCTCTCTCTCTCTCTCTCTTTATATCTAACTATCTCTTTCTTCTTTCTCTCTTGTTCTCCCACCTTTCTTTCTTTCTTTCTTGGCTTGCTTGTCAATTCTTGATTTTCCGATCAAATTTATATTAATATTAGAAAATCAATATGTCTAGTCGAAGGCCAAGGCAATCTGCCAGCGTTCCAAGAATTAGTGATGAACAAATCATCGAACTTATCTCCAAGTTACGTCAGCTTCTACCGGAGATTCGTGACAGGCGCTCTGATAAGGTTAGTTAGTTCAGTTGAGACACTACTTTCCGGTGTCAAACTTGGTTGAACCTTTTAGTCCAACTTCCAAAAGAAAGCAGTAAGCATGTAATTAGCATACTGAATATTATTTTATTATATTATTTTATGTAGTGAATAACAATAATTGCACTCTTTTTGAACACTTTGAATATATATATATATATATAATATATAATATATATTATTATATATATATACTATATAATTTTTTTTCATTGGTTTTCATGCTTCTAAACCATGACATAAAATGGTGTTTCAAGTTGGACCAAGAAATATATATATATATATATATATATAATATATTATAGTATATATATATTTTATTTGGCATTATAATTAGTCGGTAAAAAATATTTCTCTTTTGCTTCATTTTTGTCAATGTGAGTAAGCTATGCAATTGCATTTGCTATCTTTCTACTTTGGAAATTCTTTAAAGAAAAACCACCAGCAAATTAGGGTTCGAATTTATATTGCATTATAATTAGTTGGTAAAAAATATTTCTCTTTTGCTTCATTTTGTCAATGTGAGTAGCTATGCAATTGCATGCTATCTTCTACTTTGGAAATTCTTTAAAGAAACACCAGCAATTAGGGTTCGAATTTTTTACCGTATATGATATTATACACACTCAATTACTTTATTACTAATATAATTATGACATTTATTCATGACTTAAATCAATGGGTTATTTTTCAAGACTATTAAATTAGTAATTCCGAGCGAAATTGACCGTTATAAATATAAAATATTCAAATGCTAGAAATTGTCTCCCATAATGCTAAATATTTGAATTGACTTTGTGGGTAATGAGCAGGTATCAGCTTCCAAGGTCCTACAAGAAACCTGCAACTATATCAGGAACTTGCACAGGGAAGTGGATGACTTGAGTGAGAGATTGTCTCAACTTTTAACAACAATTGATGCTGATAGTCCTGAAGCTGCTATAATAAGGAGTTTAATTATGTAATTAGGCCCTTTATTATTAGAATTTTTAATTAAAAATATTCTCATTTTAACTTGTTGTTAGTAGAGAGTTTGATCGCTACTATATACTAAAGATCAAACAAAGGGGTTAAAAATCTATTTTAATTAATATTATTAATATTATTATATTTATATATATGGCATGTGGGTAGGCAGTGTAATTAAAGTTATAATAAAAGGACTTGCACTAGCAAAGCCTATTGTTTTATTATTGTCATTTTATCTATAATGGATAATCTATTTTGGGCTTAATACAAGTTAGTTACATTGTTGACTTGTTACTTCATATTGTATGCAGTTGAATGGAAAATTGTTATTGTTTCTTAGTGCAAATATTATTTATTCTAAATATTCAAATATGAAGTTTAAGATATTTGAAAAATGATTTAATTAGTTTTTGAATTTTCTGATAATCGATCAATATATAATAATAAAAAAGATGAAGGATTTCAATTTAATTAACAATAAATTCAAAAATATAATTATTATTCAACGTAAACTTGTTAGTCTAAATAAATTAAAATTCTCCATCCATATAAAATATTTTATGTATTTCTTATCAAGTGCCAAAAACCAAGAAATTAACTCCTTGTGCATACAAAATATGTAATCTTAATCCTTTTTTTAAGTTTCTTTTTAAATAAATTAAAATATATTTATTTTACAAACCTATAATATTAAATATTTAAAAATATAATTTAATAATTAATTAAAACAACAACCTATATTAGCAATAATTTTTATTTTTATGTTGAAAGAGATTCAAACTGTGGTCTCGCCATATTTTTTAAAAGAAGTGAAAAAATTAACCAGATTACATGCATCTAATTAACAAGAATCAAATTAATGTTTACTTAAAATGATAAACTGATCGTTTTAGTTTAAATTTGCAGCAATTAATTATGAAGTTATTAAATAACTTTTCAATTTAGAAATTTCATAATTGATATTGCATATAATATTATTCTACCTATCGGATTTTCGATACTTAATTTTTAATCATACCAAGTACTATTTTACTATAAACGACTACTCCAGTAATATTATACATTTGTTTTTTATTCAAAAGGTCCAACGAGCAAAAAGAATATTGTATGCTACACAATAAATATAGCTCTCTAATTTACTCATTAAATTAGTAAAAATTTTTGCGGTTAAGAGGTCTAATAACATTACATATTATAAATTTAAGAGTCCTACATTTATTTCTTAATGCAAAAAAGAAGAAGAGATATATTATTTTCAAGTCTCAATGCAATTAGTTATTTATTTCATGATTTTAAATAACATAAGATTATATTAATTAACAGTGATTTATTTTTTTAAGAGAATATATATAATTTCCTGAGATGAAGGAAAAAGAAGGGTTATGAGTAAGTAAGAAGTTACATGAGATACATGAATTATGGGTTGGGCTGTGTCTATTTAGAAAGAACATAAAATATTTAAATTAATAAGGTGGTTTTGCCGGTAAGTGGGGATCAACCGGCATAATGTCAGCAAAAAAGCCTAAAATCACCATAGGATGCTGATTTGATTGGATATTAATATAAGTTTTACACTTTTAATTAGGTATATTAGTCAATTCTTAATTTCTTTTTTCACATATATAAAACAATTCTTTTTTTCCTGTTCATGCCTTTCATATCTGGGTAGTTAATTTCAGACAAAATTTTCAGTTCCCCACTTTAGAAATATGTAAAACCACCATATTTTTTAAAATTATAATGGTCGATCACTTCAACCTATAAATTGCATTAAGTTAAAGTTAACATGCGTTCTGTAACCGCTTTTTTAAGCGATTTTAGCGTTTTGATTAAATGCTGTTTTTTTTATCGTATTTGGTAACATGACGTTTGGATTAGCTTTTAGAGATTAAAGTTGTATTTTATGAAAGGTTAATCCTTGTAACGTTTAACTTTAAGTGGTTTATGAAAAATTTCTCAAACAGCTAAACGCTACTAAAACAGCTAGTAGCTACCATAATAATTAATTTTGTTGAATTCTTAAGTACCCAATATGTGTTTCTTAAATGGACATTTTTATGCATTTTTTGTCCTAAAGTAAACAATAATTTTTATATTTTTAATTATTTTGTAAACATTAAATATAAATAATTTATGTTAAAATATTTAATAGATGTAATTTTATAAATTGAAATATTCATAAATATTATCTTACAGGTTAAAATATTCAATAGGTTAACATAATCCAAAATTTTTCTTATAAAATTTAGGTTTCAATCTATGCATTTGACTTGGTTTTTCCATATTATATTAAGTGCATATTTCTAGTTGGATCAAATGCAAAGCATCTCGAGCCAAAATTTGAACAATCTTAAATAAAAAAAATTATTTATAATAAATCATGCTACAATTACCAAATTAATTAAAAGCAATTTCTTTTTTTTGTTAGGAAACTAGTAATATCTTTACTGGAATAGAATGCAATTGGTGCTATTTAAATGTTATAAAAACAAAATAATAAATTGAAAAGTATATATTTTTATTACAATCTAAATATGTAAGATATATTTTTTAAATTCCAAGCAATAACACAATAAGTTACCCATTTTTCATTAATTAATGGATTGTCTTTTCCTGTGGTGTGGCTATCTAGTAATTGACCGGTATCCCACTTGACGTGTTCTTAAACCACCATTTCACAATGTGAAACTGATGGACATTAAATTCCATTCATTCCCCCTCATATACTTCGCAATTGGCTAGGTTTTCAAAAGAAGAATCGACATCCACATAATTTCCAAACAGATTAACCAACGACAGAGAAAGGGACTAAACCTAGAAACAAAATCCCGTGACTAATTAATACAAAATATAGAAAATGAAAGAACAGGTTTGGTCGTTCGAAAATGACATTGTATCTAAGATTAATATTGGCGGTAAAAATTTGGTGGTTACAGGAAAAATGTGTCTCTTTATTCATGTGAAAGTGAGACAATGGCAATAAATTTTAGGGTTCACCACTAACTTCTTTATAGAGGGAATTGAAAGAGACGTTCTAGCAACTGTATGTGTAACTATTCTAAATAATTTTTCATTACACCTCATGGGTTCTAATATATATAGGAATAGGATCATTTAGCTATATATGACAGTTTTGTAATTTTAGTTTGTTTTTGTAAGATATATAAATCTAGTTAGATTTCATTAATGAATTAATAATCTAGTTATTTATTTTGTTAATAAAGTCAAATTGGAGTGTATTACAATAATTGATTAAATTACACCTACATTCTATAATGTCCAAGCCACATCTATTTGCCAATGTTTTATTTTATTTTATTTTTTCAAATTTATGGGATGCATAATCGATTGCAATAGGATTATTGACTATATAAAGGATAAAACACTTTAACTCGCTAAATTGATGAAAACTCCTGTTATCGAGATAACCGAGTTCAAAGCCTTCTATTATCTATCTATATAAGTGAAAAAATTAACAAAACTACATCTGATTAGAAATATTCAATTAGTTGAATATGTGTCATGTAATATAATAAGTAAAAAAATTAGAAATTTAGAGGTGAAAATAGGAAAATTTTTGTGGGGTTAAATATTCAAGTTCTTTATTTTCTTCTTGCAATCAATATCATTTTTAAAAAAAAAAAAAAAATACCAAATTTAAAATTTAAGAAAGTTTTCAAAATATAGTTATTGTAATGAAGCCGTAGCATCACTAAATTTAGTAAATGATTAGTCATCACGTTGAGAGGAAAGATGGAGAGTACTAAAACTTGAACACAATCCAAAATAGTTTGAGCCTTTGAGGTGGTGTGGATGGTTATGATTGGATTTTTCAGAGAAATTTTTATGAAGGAAATAAAAATAATGAGGACTATAAAAATGATTTCCCTTTTCTTTTTTTTTCTATTGTAGCTTTTGGGTAGGTAGGTTTTGCTTCTTCATAGAACGTATACATAATCATTATGAAACTATATCATGATAGCTATAGGTTTAGTACAAGTGTGTAAAAACAGATTGCTTTCAACAAATTGAGGGGAGGGCCCCTCCCTCCCTAACTTCAATTTCTTTTTTTAATTTATTTTATAAGATAATATTTTTAATTCGATTTTTTTAATTCTTGTAAATTTTTCTTTGGTTTCAAACTTTAGAGTCTAACGTAAACTATTATTTATTAGAAGTTAGGGAGAAGTACTATTATACTATGAGTTTTGACTTAATTTATTACTTTGTCTCCCTATTTTGGTAAACTCTAAAAATAGTTCTTGTGGTTTGGTTGCACCAAACTATAAGGTCTTTTTCGTAAAAAATAGCTTTTTACAGTTAGTAAACTAAATAAAGTAAAGCCTAAGGTGAGAGAAAAAAATAATTAAAGACTAAAATAGTCTTAATAAATGTTTATCTATTTCACTCATATTCTAACTCTATAGTCTCAATAAATTTTATGGTCGATGAACAATGGGCGGTAGGCTGACGCCGACCGCTGGTCAAGTGCTGCTGGCCATAATAGTTTAGCAGTCGGCCGGCCAAGGCTGGTGGCTAGCTAATTCCTGATTGATCTGGTTTGGTTCAATTGATTTTTTTATTTACCTTGTTCGAGGCTCATTTGAACTTCAATTTCAGTTATAAGATACCGTTGCAAACCTTAGATGTTTATTTTTCATTGGTGTTGATTTGTGATGAAACTTGGCCCAAGAAAAGAGTTATATCCAGATCAATGCAAATTATTAGTGTCTTTTACATTGATTTTGGTTCACTCGATTCAGGTCCAATTTGAAGGATTTTTCAGGTCCAACTTGATTTTTCAGGGTGTAGAATTTAGGTACTCACACTGCTAAGAAAAATTCCTATATAAAGAATCAAAGCTCTGTATACAATTCATTTAATTTATAAACATAATACTTGCTCTCAAGAGAGTCCATAATTTTTGAGACTATCACTGGACTACCACTTTCATCTCAAACGCTTAAGGCTTCACTACCATTATCTTCTATAATGGTACAACATTGCACTGTGTTTAGGTATGGATTCTATAAGAGCTGTAAATTTGTACGTATATAGGTGTGAATTTAAGAATGCATAACAATCTTTATTTCCACTTATGCTTAGTTTATTGAAGGGAGATACATAATTAGTCTATGGGTGCGATCTTAGACTAGGCCTACTCTCTATGCCTCATTAGGTACTTGAAATACACAAATATCAAGTATATGTGAGTGTCATGCTTAACTTCAATCACAAGAGGAATTGTCCATTTCAGATTAAACGAATTCCATCACATCCTGAATTTGCACAAA